TCCATGTTACATCCCCTTATATATAAGGCTCCCAGAAAAACGACATAAGTTTGACAACCTATCATGGTTTTGGTAAGCCTCCCAAAGGGGGATACTATGAATTCACCCCAAACCCTAAATCCTACATTCTGAGCCCTATAATAGGGGCTATCAAGGCGGATACTAGGAGTTCAGGCTATAGCTCAAATGGTCTAGCAAAATTCCATGCCAGGCAGCAGACGCAAAAGTCCGAGGGGTCGAAGAAGAAGAAGAAAAAAAAACACACACACACACACATGTCCTAGACTGCTTAAAGCCTACACCCCTAAACCCCAGAGCCTACGTCATATATCCTAAACCTTAGGTACTGCCCCCCCTCCGTAACAGTTGGATAATAATGATAATATGGTTATATATAGCCCTTAATAGGACCCCGAATATAGACTGTTACTGGGGGGGGCAGTACCCAACCTAAACCCCATATTCTTCGCCTTAAAGGGTAAATTCTGGATCTAAACTTTCACTCCAAAGGCCGGCAGCCCTCAATCTCCTGCTGCAGATGACTGCGAGGAGGCTGGAGGGCTACATAGAAATTCTGTTGATGCTAAACATGTTGCATGACCTTGCTAAACTAGAACGCCATAATTGCCAAGGTTCAGGGTAGCTACGGTGAAGCGGGATTTTTGGTATCAATGGTAGGGGGTCTGTGACGTTGTGTAGAGTCGAGTTTAGGCTTTTCAAGTGACCGTGGCCATTAGTGTCGGCAAGTGTGAGAGGTTGTGCTACGCTATCAGGGGCATCCCGTATGATACGTTGCAGGACCGCGGTCTCCGGAGGTCCACCGACTGAATATTAACAGGTCCTTCGATCGACAAGTCATAAGTTCCTTGGCTTCTATTAAAGCTCCTTTCACAGAATGTCCAAGTACCCCACTCGCAGGCACTCCCCAAAAGTGTTCTATTGGGGCCTATTGGGGATTCACAAAAACTTCGAACTACTAAGCCCTCCCCCTAAACCCTAAAATATATTGTATTATTTAAGATTTAGGGCTGGGGCTGATGTTTAAGCTCGTGTCTAAGTTCTGGACGGCTTACTGAGTATAACTTAGGAGTTTTCTGATTCCGTACCCAATCCTCATGAGGATCCCCGCAATTCCGTAACCATCTCCGCATATCCCTTGGGTTCCTACTGTAAGGGCCCCTATGTTGAGAAAGTCCCATGTGCGCGCTACATATAACTTGGGATTTCCCAGGTTTTCAGGAGCTGGGTTGCTGTAGTTGAAATGGAATTACTATAATAAGGAAGCCGTATTATTCATCATGCACCCATATTAGCCCATATTATGGTAGCGTAACTTAAGTTCTTTAACAGCAACCCAGGCTGTGGGCACGTATAGAGTTTTGGGTCAAGGTCTTGTGAGGCAGAGTCGCTAACTCCCAATGCTCAAGCTAGATCCCAAAAACCCTAAACTAGGGTTTATTTAGTTTTTAGGGTGTAGGGCCCAGACCCTAAGTGCACGGATCGACCTGGAACTCTAGGCTGTGGAAGCTTCCCTCCACCACTCTAAATAGGGTTTAGGGTTTAGGGTTTAGGGACATTGTAATGCCTGAGCCCGAAGCCTGAGGCACGACATCTTAAATCAGCGTCGCGCTTTTTTTTACCGATCCCTATTTGGGGACGGTTCTCAACAAAATTCCGGTTCTGAAGGGACCTTCGAAGGGAGTTGTCCTCACACGAGGATCCAGCAAAATGGATTCCTCATTTGTGGAGCCCTTAATATGAAATTCCTCACAGGGAGAAAGTACCCATGGACCCCTGATTCCCAAAGTCACCACCAGCGAATTTTGTCCAGGGATGTGTTGGGTATTTCGTCCCTGCCCTACAATGGTCACATATGACACTAACGAAGTAGAATCTGGGGGGATGGTGGTGTAAACCCTACAACCTAAACCCTAAGCCATGAAAAGGGATACTACGGCGGCCCCCAAACCCAAAGACATCCATTCACACTCGACCCGCACGCCCAATCCCCTAACCCCCCCACTCCCGCATAGAAATTCGCTTGTAAGACAATATTAATATGCATTACTTGGGAAGATTTATGGTTAAGGGGGAGGGGTTTCGGAGTACACTAGGTGAGAACATGAGAATCCTTAAGTGAAAAGAATCATGCAGGATCCCTGTTCTGCGCTATCACCCACTTTGTTTCCCATAGTTCCATAAAACAATACCTGCTTGCACAATTCCCTGGAAACCCCAAGACATGGCCTGAACAGAATTCGTCCTCCGACAAAACCTTCAGCTCATCCAAGCTGCCCCGCTCCCTTCCTCAAGTCCCACCATATAGTCCCCCTTAAGTAGATAGAATATATGGGGTATATGGAGATCTTATTATAGTATACCCAAAGCCATATTCTATCTACTTAAGGGGGGCCATAAATTCAAAGCTCTCAACTACAAACCCAAATCGTAAGCCCTGAGACCCAAGCCTTAAGCCCAACTTCGAATTACATGATAGTTTCCAGGAACAGGGGGCCACTCATATAGCTTTCACAAAACTACAACCTTTATCATGGGAACTCCCAAGAAGGGATCCCGAATTTTGGGGAAACCATCTGAATTCTTACCAGCGTGTATCATAAATATAGTCAACCAGGATCTTCTTGCAAGCTCTGAAATGCTAAGCCCTCGACTCGTATACTGCATACTAGAAGACTTGCCAAGGTTTGGGTACGTAGCGTCATGTAGGATTTAGGGTTTAGGGTATAAGGATTTTTAGTATCAATCTGAAACCCTATATCCTGTTTGTCGTCCCTAGGCCCAGGCCCCAATCCCCACACCCCTTTCAATGGACCACTTTTCAATATGAACCGTCTTTGAAAGACTCTGGCCCACAAGTCTGTTCTCAGAACCGCAGTATCCAAAACCCGAAAACCTAAGCCCGAATCCCTAAATTCTAAGCCCTCAACCTTACTTCAGGCCCAAACCACTCAACCCCAAACCCTAAACCCCTAAAACCATGAACCTTAACCCTATACATGATGATCCCGATATAACCCCCATATACTATAGTAGTTTCCATTTTCTTTTTCTTTTCCATTATCCCAATATGACCTCTAACCCCTAAACCCTAAACCGCAAACCCTTAAACCCGAAGCCCCACGTAGGTCCTGGCTGGATCGGGCCGGGACTTTGATCTTGTCGCGGCTGGCGACCGGGCGGACATCGAGGCTCGTGACGCGGAGGCCGGGTTTGAGGGTTAAGGTGTTAGGGGTTTGGGAGGTTTAGGGTTTAGGGTTTGGGGGTGTTAGGGGTTGGGAGTTTTAGGGCTTTGGGGTTTAGGGGTTGAGGGTTTCTGGCTTGAAGGTTTAGGAGGGTCCTCGGAAGATGTAACTGTAGTAGGGTTTAGGGTTTATGACGTAGGGTTCAGTGTTCAAAGTCCCGGGCACTTAGTACACACGAAACCGGAATCACTCAAGTGATCCACATGATGTATAGTCCCCCTTAAGTAGATGGAATATGGGTTTGGGTATACTATAATAAGATCCCCATATACCCCAGATTCTATCTACTTAAGGGGGATTATATGGTTTAGGGAGTGGCTGAATAATTTAGAAACAGATTTGAACGGGTTTGGGCTTGTGTGTGGGTTTAGAATGGCTGATGGTTGGATACAGCCCCCACTGCCTAACAGTTGGACAAGAATTTGGTAATATGAAGCACGCACGTAACTCAGCCTCTATTGTAGACTGTTACTGTGCGGGTGTAGTAGCCAAGGTTATAGATTATTCTATAGTCCCCCTTAAGTAGATAGAATATGGCTTTGGGTATATTATAATAAGACCCCTCATATACCCCATATTCTATCTACCTAAGGGGGACTATAACCCTAAAGACCCAAAACCCTAAACCCTAAATAGTAGTTTCCATTATCTTTTCCATTATCCGTATATAATCCCTCTATAACCCCAACTAACAAGGAGGACTATACTCCTTTGCCTTTCAACTTCCTTGAAAATCTTTCTGCGGCATGGGCTCTGCCTCGCCCGTAATGTGGTAAAGTGGGAATCCACAGCGACCCCGACATGTGCTATAGTCTAAACTCCTTAAAGGAGGGCTATATACGGGATTATATGGAGAACTGCTATAGGGGCTATTAAGGGGGATACCAGGAGTTTAGACTATAGCTCACAAACTTACAGGTACCTGTCGTGGTCACTTTTAGTACGTGGTTCCCCCATCCCAAGGCATAGGGCTCATTCACTTCCAGATTGCGTCCTTGGTGTTGCCACACATCGGGGTTTTCCCAAATTAGTGGTCCTTTTTTGGGGGTTCCTATCAAAGGACTGTAGCACTTTTGGGTCTTTGTTGGGCCCCCCTATTCATGGAAACTATAAGTGGCTGCCAGGCTAATTCCGATTGCCTTCGCCATGGCAGGATTTGCTTCATGTTAATGCTTTTGTCTCAAGCCACAGCGCTGTATTGATTTCGTGTCTCCCGCTAGCTGCCCGCCCTTGCTCCCAAGGCCACTTGCAGCCATGCCCCCTCGCGAGAAGGACGTGTACTTTGCCAAGCTTGCTGAGCAGGCGGAGCGGTACGATGAGATGGCCGACCACATGAAGAACGTGGGCAATGCGGACTCAGAGCTCTCCGTTGAGGAGCGCAACCTGCTGTCCGTGGCCTACAAGAACACCGTTGGCTCTCGTCGTGCTGCCTGGCGCATCATCACCAGCGTCATGCAGAAGGAGACTACCAAGGGCAACACGGAGAACGCTGCCTATGCCAAGGAGTACTGCAAGAAGGTTGAGGACGGGGTTGTTGCGGGCGCAAGGCTGCAGTTGCCTGCATGTTGGTGTGTTGGTTCTTCGCTAGGGCCGAGGAGAAGAGATGTTGTTGAATCATTTGAGTCTGTTATGCGCTGAGAGAGGATGAACTTCAGTCCATCTGTGACACCATCCTCGCCCTCCTGGATGGCAAGCTCATCGCTAAGGCCAGCAGCGGAGAGTCCAAGGTCTTCTACCAGAAGATGAAGGCGGACTACTACCGCTACATTGCCGAGTTCCGCGATGGTGATGCCAAGAGCCAAGCGGCAGAGAAGGCCCGCCAAGCCTACCAAGAGGCGCCGAAGACATGGACAAATCAAACCCTAAATTCTGAGAGCTCAATCTCAGATCACACACCTGCATCCTAAAGTCTGAATCTAAACCCGGAGACCGTCAACCTTTACCTTAAAAGTCTTCATTGCTACACCCCTACCTTCCCTTTGAGGCCGAGGACGTGGCCAAGAAGGATCTGGCAGTGACCCATCCAATTCGCCTAGGACTGGCCCTGAACTACTCCGTGTTCATGTGGCTGTGCTGCATGTGAGACCATGTCCACAGACTTTTCCGATAGTTAGAAAAGTGATGTCTGCCAATGGTGCGTGTGCAGAACTAAGGTATGAGGTGCTGGGCAACCCAGATGATGCATGCAAGATGGCTCGCACGGCTTTCGAGGATGCGATTGCGGAGTTGGACAATGTGGCAGAGGATTCCTACAAGGATTCGACTCTGATTATGCAGCTCCTCAGGGACAATTTGA